CCACCCAGTAATGGTGTGAGTATGTTGAGCCTGAGGGCCTAGTACTAGATTTCGTCTGTTGGTACAAATAAATTCTTTCTTCTAATTTCATATTCATGTTTAAATAAACTTTGTATTTGTATAATTGTGTCTATTATTTACCTACAGTATTTACCGTTATTTCGTCCCTATTGCTTGATACTATCATTACACCTACCCACGAGCCTCCTATCGTCACGCTACCAATGGTAATAAGTATAAGAGTAAAAGGAATTGTTACTGACACACAGAGGCCCTCACAAATGGTGGCAGTTCAAGCCCTCATAAATGGTGGCAGTAGTGGCCCTCATAAATGGTGGAAGTTCAGGCCCTCATAAATGGTGGCAGTTCAGGCCCTCATAAATGGTGGCAGCGGTGGGATGGCAACAGGTCCCAGCATACAGCGTCTGCTACTGAATCCGTGGATTATATTCCAAGTTCCCATAAGACAAAGACGGGGGAAACAGAGAAAACGGGGGACGTTTCCACTGGGGGACTCAGAAGGTTTTGTGGACGTTTGAGCGTAATATGAATCCTTAAGGTTTTCAGGTTAGCTATTATCATGATCATTACAGTAATATATGTGGCAAGAAATTAAGTAGGTCAAGCAACCTTCGCGACCATCAGTTTCTCCATAGTTCAGAAAAAAAATTTAAATGCGAGTTATGTGACAAGCGATTATATACTAAGAACAGCCTTGCCAAACACCGGATCCAGCACTTCAGAAACTATAGCTGCAATATATGCTACAGCAAGAATTTCACGAAAAAATTTCCGCTCTACAAACATATGTTCTCTCTTGTCGAGGAGAAACCCTTTAATTGTGAGATATAATAAGGGTATTTTGTCGGGAAAATAGTTTGATTACCCACATGGCCACACACGACTCTCTGAATACCGACAATCAGATTCATATTCGCTGTAATATATGCGACAAGATGATCAACAAAAAGAACTTAAAATATCACATTAACACTCATATAACGAAAAATTATGAAAAAACATTCAAGTGTAATATATGTAATAAGGAATTCAGTTGGCCGGGAAGCTTAAGGAGACATCAGTGTAGGGTAAGTTTTTTTTTTTTACGTCAGGAAGAGTGTGGGTGACGTGATATGTTTGTACACAGATTCATTGATAACACTGGGGAACAAAATTCAACTTTTTGTCAGTTGCATACATTTTGAGACCTGTTTCTGGGTAAATTGAGGTCACTGATTTCAAATATGGCACCGGTTTTTTTCTATCAGGTCTAGTTTTGTTGCGGTGAGTTACCTACCATTTACTACTATATATAGTTAGACTACCATATACTACTGCTAAAAATCTAAACCAGCACACAGAGAGGAATTACCAAACACGTAGAATTAATTTTTAATTACTTTTATTTACCTTGACAAGCATATTTTGGATTCATCAGTTGCTTTTGTGAACTATGCCAGATTTATTCAGGCACAAACTTGCGTTTAATGGACTGTCTTGAATATCGCCTCTCAGTGCAGTCTCGCTGAATGCTCCAGCAATAGTCCGCCATCATGTGAATGTCCCAGCGACCTTGATACCTGTCTTCCATGACTTTGATATCCTGGTGAAAGCGTTCACCTTGCTCATCACTCACGTCCCCCAAGTTTGCCGGAAACAGTTCAAGATGACTGTTCAGGAAATGCATCTTAATGCTCATGTTGCAACCTAACACATGGAAACTTTCCATCAAAGATTCAACGAGCTTTTTATAGTCCTCTGATTTCCTGTTTCCAAGAAAGTTCCTTACAACAGAAACGAATGCTCCCCATGCATTTCTCTCAACATCAGTCATGGATTGAGTGAAGGCTTGGTCTTTAATCAGCGTCCTAATTTGAGGGCCGTCGAAAATACCTGCTTTGAGTTTTTCTAGCGTTAAACCAGGGAACACTTCACACAGATACTTAAAACAGTCACTGTCAGTATCGAGCGCCTTGACAAACTGTTTCATAAGGCCCAGCTTGATGTGAAGGGGCGGGAAAACAATTTTTTCACGTTCCACTAGGGGTTCATAAATGATGTTCTTTTCCCCAACATTGAGGCTTTCCCTAACTGGCCATTCCTTCTGAATCCAGTGTCTGTCTTTGGCTCTGCTGTCCCAGAGGCAGATAAAGCAAGGAAATTTTGTATACCCACCTTGCTGTCCTAGCAAAAAATTGACCATTTTTAGATCAACACAGATGATCCATTTGTGTTCTTCATATTTGAGTAGCTCCAAAACCGTTTTGATGTGTTCATATTTTTCTTTCAGGTGTACTGAGTGTCCTATGGGTATTGCGCCAAAGATGTTGCCTATATGTAATAAAACACACTTCAGACTCCGCTTAGAGCTATCTATAAAGAGGCGCCACTCTTTCGGATCATAACCTGGAGCTCCCATCGCGGTGACTAATCCAGAAATATCACAACAGTAGACGAAGTCAAATTTAGAATCAAAGAACTGTAAGAGGTTCTTTTCTCTGTTGCGAAAGAATGTTACCTTTGTGTCTATTTTCAGCAAGTTTTTATCTTTTAACCGTGAAGCCAACAATTCTGACAGCTTTTTAGACAGACCCAGATCTCGAACTAAGTCATTGAGTTCTGCTTGGCTAAATGTTTGCGGTTCTGTTGATATGCCTGCAAAATCTGAGTCACTATTTCTGTTAGTTGACTCCTCTGTGACCTCAGTGTCATATTCACTGTCAGATTCAACGGAAGCAAGTTGAGTGAAGATAGGCTTTGGAACATCATCTGAATGGGGCACAGGCCTGATTGCTGAATCTAGACCTGATCTGCACAAACGAATGCCATTTTCAGAATCTGTGACCTCAAATCTACCAGAATCAAGTGTCAGAACTCATGCAACCGAAAGTGTGTTCCCCAGTGTAATTTATATTTACATCATCCATCAAAACTAGAAAATTTATATGTGATTTATATTTTTATACAGAATAACCCATCACCCAGCAACAACAATTTGGATACCCACAGCATCTGAAGTAGACAACAATTTTGGACCTGATTTATGAATAGGGAATGAAATTGAACAAATCAGAATAACCCATCGACCAAGCAACAATTTACAATTTTGGACTTGATTTCTGATTTATGTATGTATATGGTTATATTATGAATGCCAATGTATATAGTTATATTATGAATGCAATACAAAGTTGTGAGTTTCTTTTATAAAGGTGGATGGACCAGAATTTTTTATATGTTAAAGATAACGCTTTTTTTAATAAATTTACAGACATATTAAAAAATACAGTATGTAGTTTAATGTTCCTCGAATGCCTGCTGAATTTTTATTCTAGATAAAGTATATGTATAATTTATGAATGCAATACAAAGTTGTGAGTTTCTTTTATGGATGGACCAGAATTTTTTATACATGTTAAAGAAAGATAACGCTACGGCTGCCAGCTGAATTTTTATTCTAGGTTCTGGTGTAGATAAGGTATAAGTAAGAATAACCATTCCAAATATTATATTGCTAGAAAAATAAATGTAATCAAATAATTATTTTTTATTTTACATATTCAAAAATACAGTATGTAGTATAATGTTCCTCGAATGCCTGCTGAATTTTTATTCTAGGTTCTTGTAGAAGAATAACCATTCCAAATATTATATTGTTAGAAAAATCGAATGATTCACCATTTCGAAAATTTGACTGGCTGGAAATTTGACTGGCTGGATTTTGGATTTTTTTTTAATGGGAGAGAGCAAGGTTATGAATTTCTTATAGAATGATTCCATTGAGGAGGGTGGAGGGTGAGAAAATCGATGAATCTTTCCTTCTCAGAAAATTGGACTCGGATTTTTTCTTTTAAACCATTTTTTATCAGCAAGGTTGGAGAGATGTTGAATTTAATTCACTGTTTTTTTTAAGAGATTCATTTGTTCTCAGAGCACATTTCTTATTTGGGATTCACATATCATTGAGAAAATCTTTCCTTGAATGATCATCTCAGAAAATTTACTCAGTTTGTTTTTACATTTTTTCTCAGCAAGGTTATGGTGAGAATTTCTTACAGAATTGGGAAATCCTCGAATGAATCATCTCAAAACGAGATTTTTAAGAAAAATAAGCCTCTGGCTGTGTATCAG